GAACAGAGATGGGGACAGGAAGAAGTGAGATGGGTACAGCAGCACGGCAGCACGGCAGCACGGCAGCACGGCAGCACAGCAGCACGGCAGCACGGCAGCACGGCAGCACGGCAGCACGGCAGCACAGCAGCACGGCAGCACGGCAGCACGGCAGCACGGCAGCACGGCAGCACGGCAGCACGGCAGCACGGCAGCACAGCAGCACGGCAGCACGGCAGCACGGCAGCACGGCAGCACGGCAGCACGGCAGCACGGCAGCACGGCAGCACAGCAGCACGGCAGCACGGCAGCACGGCAGCACGGCAGCACGGCAGCACGGCAGCACGGCAGCACGGCAGCACAGCAGCACGGCAGCACGGCAGCACGGCAGCACGGCAGCACGGCAGCACGGCAGCACGGCAGCACGGCAGCACAGCAGCACGGCAGCACGGCAGCACGGCAGCAGGGCAGCACGGCAGCACGGCAGCACGGCAGCACGGCAGCACGGCAGCACGGCAGCACGGCAGCACGGCAGCACGGCAGCACAGCAGCACGGCAGCACGGCAGCACGGCAGCACAGCAGCACGGCAGCACAGTGTGGGCACAGCCGGGCCACCGCCGCACCGCTCAGCCCTCCGCCGGCCTCCTGCTCGCCTCCCGCAGCGCCGCCAGCTGCCCGCACCGCACCGGGCCGTCGCCGCCACCACGACCCGCGCTCCTGGCACCGGAGCGGCCTCGCGTCCGGGAGCGGCACAACGCGCAAAGAGGAGGCGGGGAGGCCCTGCCGGACGGGAGCTGCCTTCAGCTCTGTCCCGACGCGTCCCCGAAGAGAAGCGGGGATGCGCGCCCGGCGCAGCGGGGACGTGTGCTGCATCGCCCGGCGCGGCTCGGGGCGGCAAAGCTCCCGCCCGCCCGGCACGGAGCAGCAAGCGGCTGCGTTGTGCCGACGTTTCTTTCGGGTCGCCGCTCCGGCACGGAGCCACGCCGCGATCTGCTCCAGGCGGAGCTCGGCCTGGCCGCGCACGGAGGCGAGGCGAGGGCAGCACGCGGCCCGGCACCGAGATGCGGCGAGCGCGAAGGAAGGCGGCGCCGGCGCTTCCAGGCGGGGTCCCGGGCCGCCGAGCTCTCGCCGCTTCCCTCGTCCTCCCCGCTCGGACAACAGACATCGTCACCCCGCCGCGCCCGGCTTCGGAACGCCCAAAAGCACGCGGTTGTGCGTTCGCTGCGCAGCGCTGAGTCTAATTTGTTCTTTTTACTGTCACAGGAAGCACATGTTGAAAGCAATCTGTTTCCTCGTACGAACGCCTTCCTGCCTGCTCGAAAAAAACGGCAACACACTTTACCCCGAGTAACCGAGAGGTGATCATAAATATCCCTAAATAGCATTAAACAGATATGAAAGACATTAACACTTCCAGAATGCCAAAGTAGTATTAAAAAAAAAATTCTAACAGATGCTCCTAGGTCAAAAAGCGAAATGCGTGTTTCCTGAAAAAACACCCTCATCAGAATCATAAATGAACTGCGAGCGGAGGAACGAGGGGCTGCGCAGCCGCCGGCAGGAGCGCACAGGGCTGCGGTGCGCGGCTGCACAGAGAGGGGCGCCGCACTGCTCACGGGCACAGGGCGCAGGGCAGCGGCAGGAGCAGGGAACACAGAGCCCATAAACACACAGCCCATAAACACACAGCCCATAAACACACAGCCCATAAACACACAGCCCATGGACACAGATGGACACACAGCCCATGGACACACAGCTCATGGACACACAGCCCATGGACACACAGCTCATGGACACACAGCCCATGGACACAGATGGACACACAGCCCATGGACACACAGCCCATGGACACAGATGGACACACAGCCCATGGACACACAGCTCATGGACACACAGCTCATGGACACACAGCCCATGGACACACAGCTCATGGACACACAGCTCATGGACACAGATGGACACACAGCTCATGGACACACAGCCCATGGACACACAGCCCATGGACACACAGCCCATAAACACACAGCCCATGGACACACATGGACACACAGCCCATGGACACACAGCCCATGGACACACAGCCCATAAACACACAGCCCATGGACACACATGGACACACAGCCCATGGACACACAGCCCATGGACACACAGCTCATGGACACAGATGGACACACAGCTCATGGACACACAGCTCATGGACACAGATGGACACACAGCTGATGGACACACAGCCCATGGACACACAGCTCATGGACACACAGCCCATAAACACACAGCCCATGGAAACACAGCTCATGGACACACAGCCCATGGACACACAGCCCATAAACACACAGCCCATGGACACACATGGACACACAGCCCATGGACACACAGCCCATGGACACACAGCTCATGGACACAGATGGACACACAGCTGATGGACACACAGCCCATGGACACAGATGGACACACAGCTCATGGACACACAGCCCATGGACACACAGCCCACCATGCCCAGACCCCACGGCAGCCCTGCCCCCCATGCAGACCCTGTTGCCCCTCCACTGTCCCCTCCGGCGCCCCCCAGCTGCCCCCCATCTCGGGTGCCGACCCCAGCCCTATGCTGGGCCTGTCAAAACGCACGGCGGGCCATTGAAAACAAAACAACAATAACAAAAATACAACCAGCCATTGTCGGCCGCCTGGTTCTGGTGCCAAGAAGCTGTCAGGGGAGCCCTGCTATGCGTTTAACAATGTTAATAGTTACTGCAGCTCTTTATGCCACTTTTTTCCCCGTGTGTTTTTCTTTTTGCCACGCCGGTTCTTTCCGCACGTTTGACGCTTCAGCGTAAAGGCAAAAAAACAAAAAAAAAACAACAAAAAAACAACACAGGAAAACTTCAGAGCAAAAACTGAAGCGTTCCTTCGATGAAACGCAGAGGCCGAGTCAACAAACGCACAGCAGTCACAGCACCAATGCAACAACCAACACGGCACCGCCAGCTCCTTCAAGGGCCTGAGACCAAGCAGCTCCACAACAGGAGGAAAACGTAAAGCACAGCACAGCAGCAAAGGCTGCCACAGCCCCAGAGCCCCGCTGCAGAGCGCAGAGCAGCAGCAGCATGAGGGGCTCAGGGCTCCACCTCACATGGGGACCTGCAGAGCTCAGCCCTGCAGAACTGCAGAGCTCAGACCTGCAGAGCTCAGACCTGCAGAGCTCAGACCTGCAGAGCTCAGACCTGCAGAGCTCAGCCCTGCAGAGCTCAGCCCTGCAGAACTCAGCCCTGCAGAGCTCAGACCTGCAGAACTCAGCCCTGCAGAGCTCAGACCTGCAGAACTCAGACCTGCAGAGCTCAGCCCTGCAGAGCTCAGACCTGCAGAGCTCAGCCCTGCAGAGCTCAGCCCTGCAGAGCTCAGACCTGCAGAGCTCAGCCCTGCAGAACTCAGCCCTGCAGAACTCAGACCTGCAGAACTCAGACCTGCAGAGCTCAGCCCTGCAGAGCTCAGCCCTGCAGAGCTCAGACCTGCAGAGCTCAGCCCTGCAGAGCTCAGACCTGCAGAGCTCAGACCTGCAGAGCTCAGACCTGCAGACCTGCAGAGCTCAGCCCTGCAGAACTCAGCCCTGCAGAACTCAGCCCTGCAGAACTCAGCCCTGCAGAACTCAGCCCTGCAGAGCTCAGACCTGCAGAGCTCAGACCTGCAGAGCTCAGCCCTGCAGAACTCAGCCCTGCAGAACTCAGCCCTGCAGAGCTCAGACCTGCAGAACTCAGACCTGCAGAGCTCAGACCTGCAGAGCTCAGCCCTGCAGAACTCAGCCCTGCAGAACTCAGACCTGCAGAACTCAGACCTGCAGACCTGCAGAGCTCAGCCCTGCAGACCTGCAGAGCTCAGCCCTGCAGAGCTCAGACCTGCAGACCTGCAGAGCTCAGCCCTGCAGAGCTCAGACCTGCAGAGCTCAGCCCTGCAGAGCTCAGACCTGCAGAGCTCAGCCCTGCAGAGCTCAGACCTGCAGAACTCAGCCCTGCAGAACTCAGACCTGCAGAGCTCAGCCCTGCAGAGCTCAGACCTGCAGAGCTCAGCCCTGCAGAGCTCAGACCTGCAGAGCTCAGCCCTGCAGAGCTCAGCCCTGCAGAACTCAGACCTGCAGAGCTCAGCCCTGCAGAACTCAGACCTGCAGAGCTCAGCCCTGCAGAGCTCAGACCTGCAGAGCTCAGCCCTGCAGAGCTCAGACCTGCAGAACTCAGCCCTGCAGAACTCAGCCCTGCAGAGCTCAGACCTGCAGAGCTCAGACCTGCAGAACTCAGACCTGCAGAACTCAGACCTGCAGAGCTCAGCCCTGCAGAACTCAGACCTGCAGAGCTCAGCCCTGCAGAGCTCAGACCTGCAGAGCTCAGCCCTGCAGAGCTCAGACCTGCAGAACTCAGCCCTGCAGAACTCAGCCCTGCAGAGCTCAGACCTGCAGAGCTCAGCCCTGCAGAACTCAGACCTGCAGAGCTCAGACCTGCAGAGCTCAGCCCTGCAGAACTCAGACCTGCAGAACTCAGACCTGCAGAACTCAGCCCTGCAGAGCTCAGACCTGCAGAGCTCAGCCCTGCAGAACTCAGACCTGCAGAGCTCAGCCCTGCAGAACTCAGACCTGCAGAACTCAGCCCTGCAGAACTCAGCCCTGCAGAGCTCAGACCTGCAGAGCTCAGACCTGCAGAACTCAGACCTGCAGAACTCAGACCTGCAGACCTGCAGAGCTCAGCCCTGCAGAGCTCAGACCTGCAGAGCTCAGACCTGCAGAACTCAGACCTGCAGAACTCAGACCTGCAGACCTGCAGAACTCAGCCCTGCAGAACTCAGACCTGCAGAGCTCAGCCCTGCAGAGCTCAGCCCTGCAGAGCTCAGACCTGCAGAGCTCAGACCTGCAGAGCTCAGCCCTGCAGACCTGCAGAACTCAGACCTGCAGAGCTCAGACCTGCAGAGCTCAGCCCTGCAGAGCTCAGCCCTGCAGAGCTCAGCCCTGCAGAGCTCAGACCTGCAGAGCTCAGCCCTGCAGAGCTCAGCCCTGCAGAGCTCAGCCCTGCAGAGCTCAGACCTGCAGAGCTCAGACCTGCAGAGCTCAGACCTGCAGAACTCAGCCCTGCAGAGCTCCTTGCTCGCACAGCACGCTCCAGGTAGGGCTGGGTAAACCAGGAGTCCAGCTGCCCCCTGGGCCACGCGCACCTTTGATCCTGAAGTGGGTTTTGCTGGCAACCATCTGGAAAAATCAGAGTTCTACCTTTCTGAATTCAGCCCCATTTCCAAACCCACGAAAATGACGCAGCCCCTGGAAGGAAATGGCCGAAGGCTGCAGTGACGCTGCGTCGACTCTTGGCTCTCCTGCCAACCCCAGGCGCTGCCGGCCCCAGCAGCCCCGCGGCGCGCAGCCACCTCCGGGCTTTTCTCCTGCAGGAACCTGGCCTGCCTGAAGCCCAGCGCGTGCAACACAGAGACCGATAAGAAGCTTAAATTAAAAGCGCGTGTCAGTTGGGAGCGGGGGGAGGACGCCGGGCCGGTTTCCTGCCCAGGAAGGGGCGCGGGGCGCCTGCAGGATCCCATCTGCACCGCCAGCCATCGACCCCGGCTGCGGCACCGGCAGCTCCAGCCGATCGGATCCGGCCCTGCAACGGCGCTCCGGGCCGCCTTTCATTTTGTCCTTTCCGCAGCGCTCAGAAACCGCCTGCATGCGTCGGCCAGGGCGCTACGGCCGCGAAGAAGAAATGCCTTCTGCACTACCTGCCGTGCTCTGAAGAGGGAGTCTACGCTCAAGCTAAACAAAGCCAACGTCCCGCAGCTCCGCCGGCACCGCCGAGCGGGACGGAGCCGCGCAGGACCGGCACCGGCGGGTTCCGAGCGCAGCCACAGCCGCGAGGTGCGGCGTGCAGCGCGGCCCCGCTCCGAGCGGAGCGCAGCGGAGGCGGCGGAACACAGCGCAGGTCGCTCCCGGACAGGAGCCGCTGTCACGCACCGAGCGCCTCCCGTCTGCGCTCCCGCTGCGTCCTCAGCCCTTCGACAGCAGCAGCGCAGAGCTCTGCCCGCGCAACCGCTGCCCGCTCCTGCCCTGCACCACCGAGCGATCCTGGGCTGCTCGCCACAGCTCCCTTAACCCATCCCCGCTGCCTGGCAGCGGATCTCGTTCCCTTGGCTCAACTTACTTTACCACGTGCTGAAGATGCACTGCCCGAGTTGTATTTGCTTTTAAAATAAGAGCCGGAGCTCGGCAGCAGCCCACGGAGCTGAGCTCGGCTCGACTTTAAGGAGAGCGAGACCAGACCGCAACCAGGGCGGATTTGCACGGCTGCGCTCCGGGCAGCCGCACGGCACGGGGCCGCGGGAGAGGGGGCCGCTGAGCCCTGCCGTCGCTGCCCTTCCTCCCAGCTGTCGGAAGCCTTGGAATCACACGGCTCTGCTCGGATTGGTTCCTGCTGCCTCCTCCATCAGCCTCCTCTCCCCGAACTGCCGGCCTGGACCCAAGCGACCCGGCCCCATTTTAAGCCGTGCATCGAAAGACCTCCACCCCGAGAGCCGGGCGGCGTGCAGGGACGCAGGGGAAGTCAAGGGCGCCAGATTTGCTTTGGAAACCTCCCGATGGAGTCGGACGTTTGAAAGGGACTCCTTAGGGCTGCGCTCCTTGAACCCGGGGCAGGAAGGCTGCAAAGGCTGCACAGAAAGCACGAAGGCGCTTCCCCAGCTCCCAGCCCCAAGGCGTCTCCGTCAAACAGCCCCCGGAGGCATCCCAGCGGTATTTCTCCTCTCTGGGCTTCTGGAACCAAGCAGGTGCTTCCTTAGGCTCCACAGCTGAGTCGTGCCCTGCCTCATCCGTCTGGCTAGCAAGGTCAAAGCTGGCACGACTGTAAACACATGCAGCAGCAAGTGCAAATAGATGCCTCCCGCCTAGGCACCTTGAGTGGAGATGAAAGACAGAGGCTTCTGCCATCGCAGCTGAGGCTCGGGGGCTTCACCTTCCGATCCTTCAAGAAAAGCAGTTCTTCAGTTCCTCCTCCTTACCTCAACGGAGATGAGGGGAGCTACGGGAAGGGGGGCACAGGCTCCTGAGCAGGGTCTGTGGTAGAAGGACGAGGGGAAATGGCTTCAAACTGAAGGAGGGGGGATTTAGGTGGGATATAAGGAAGAAGTCTTTCACAGTGAGGGCGGGGAGGCACAGGCTGCCCAAGGAGGCTGTGGATGCCCCATCCCTGCAGGCATTCAGGGCCAGGCTGGATGTGGCTCTGGGCAGCCTGGGCTGCAGGTTGGCGACCTGCACACAGCAGGGGGTTGGAACTGATGGGCACTGCAGTGCTTTTCAACCCAGGCCATTCTGTGATTCTGTGATCCTATGATACGATTCTTCAGGCAGAATTAAGGCGAGGAGGGCAAGAGGAGAGCCCTTGCTGCAGAGCCATCGAGCTCACAGCACGCCTGCGGGCGGCCTGCAGGAATACAACAGAGCGAGGGCTGTGCTTCCCAGAACAGGAGCAAACATACAGCCGTGAGGCTGTCAGAGAACAAGCCGGGGTACCTCTCACAGCACCATGTGCTGGACACCAAGAGGGAAAGTCACCGTAACAGCCTGCAAGCTGCAAGATCAGCGCCGCATCAGCTCTGCTGCCACCAGGAGCGGTGGAGTCACGAGACAGCCAAGCCTGGGGCTGACAAACGGAGCCCCCAGCCCAGGGCTCAGCTATGGGAACGAAATGCACCTCTCTGCGGGCCGGGTGGGACGCGGGCAGCTGCAGGCACAGTCGTAGAGGAGTCCAAGGAGGACTGGAAATGAAGGCACGGCACAACAGCGACTGCATCGGGTGGTAACGGCAGCAAAGGCAGGGCTGAAGATGGGGGAAAAACGCAGGAGCTGAGCTGTGCTCAGTCACACCTCTGAAAGCCTGGTCCCAAAAAGGAGCACAGAGATGCTGGGAGGGCTGGAGCACCTCCCCATAAGGACAGGCTGAGGGAGCTGGGAGGAGAAGGCTCCAGGAGGGCGGTATAGTGGCCTGCCAGGACCTGAAGGGGACTACAGGAAGGCTGGAGAGGGACTTTTTTAAGGGCAGGTAGCAACAAGACAAGGGGAAATGGCTTTCGGCTATCAGAGGGAAGATTAGCCTAGATATCAGGAAGAAATTCTTTACGGTGAGGGTGGTGAGACACTGGAACAAGTTGCCCAGAGGGGTTGTGGATGTCCCCTCCCTTGAAGCAATCAAGCCAGGCTGGATGGGGCTGTGAGCAAACTGGTGCGGTGGGAGGTGTCTCTGCCTATAGCAGGGGCCTGGAACTACGTGATCTAAAAGGTCCCTTCCAACGCAAACCATTCTGTCATTCTGTGACTCTGTGAAGCTGCTGCCCTGGAAGGCACTCACTTCACACGGACCGCTTCCAACGGACGTGCTCCGGAGATGAATTATTTCTGCTCCACAGGTGAGATTAAGCCAGCCGAGCTGCACAACGCTGCCAAAGGTCAGCTGCGATTAAAACACCAGCAGCCAAAACAAAGGCATCAGGTTACTGACCGGAACAACGGCAAAGCCTTCGGATGGGAGTCAGAGGTGAGAGGAGTCGTGCGGGGGGACGGCGGCTCACGGTGCAGCACGGCACGGCTCCTCGCCACCACGGCTGCCGCAGCTGCGCGCCGATGCCGGCTCCTGCCTGCAGGGCAGAAGCTCAGACGCCTCCAGCTTCGCTGCAGTTCAAACCCATAGGCCAAACCTCGCCTCAAAGCTGCACCCACCAGCTGCTCCCACTGCAGCGGGGGGACAGGAAGCATCGCCGTGCTGCAGCCCGGCACCCCTGGTGCTGGGGAAGCGAGCTGTGGCAGCCGGCAGCCATTTCTGCCCCAAACCTCCCCTCCTTTCTGCTCCGCGTGCCCAGGAGGAGCAGCGGGAGGCGGCGGGCCGCACAGAGCTGTGATGAGCCCTCCGCGTTGTTTTCAAACCCGCAGCCACTCCGCGCCGTAACGGGGAGCCCATTTATGACCGCTTATCACCCGGATTCTTACAAGGCCGCTTACGAATTAACCAGCAACGAGCGCCTTCACAAACGCCGCTGCGTTGATCTCCAAATCCGCTGCGCGAATCACACGGAGAACAACTTAATGCACACACGCTGCAAGAGAAGACGCCGCCGTAATTCCACCCTATCAGCTCAGCGCGTTGCCATCGAGCCGGCCTGCTTACAAACCACTCCTCCGGCTCCCAGCCCAGCCCTGCAGCCCGACCCCCAGCCTGGGCTCCTTCCCTGCTGCATGGGACGCGCGGCCGCAGCGCAGGCTGACATCCAGCCGCTGGCAGGCAGAAGGCTCCGTGCCTTTCAGGACCATGCTAACCCCAACCCGCTCGCTGTTTTCAGAAATACTTGCTGCGTTTCATTCACTTCCCTGCGCACCGTGTGTGCTTTACAATAACCTCCAGGCTGTGAAGCGGGTGTTCTGCCCAAGAAACCCGGCCGCAAAGGGAGAACGCTGTCGGGACGGGCGGGCAGCGCGTCCATCCTGCACTCGCACCAAGCACACACTGGCACTCATCTGACACCTTCTTTTGCAGCAAGAAGCAGCGCAGCAGAAGCTCTTGCAGCAGCTGCACACCGACACCTCCAAGGTCCCACCAGCACGCCGAGCTGCAGGCAGGGCACAGCGCAGCGCCGGCCTCGAGCCTCCTGCCTGCCGGCGGCGGCGCTGGGGGCTCCTCCACCTCACCCAATCGAATCCGCCTGCGGCTGCAAACCCAGCAGCTCCCCGACGACCTCGGCGGATATCAGCTGCTGCCACAAAGGAGAGCCAGAACCGAAGAGCGCAGAGCAAAGCGGGCTGAAAACACAAACGTGGGAACTTGTGATCAGAAACAGTAAAGCCACAACAGCGCCACCATTTCGCCGGAAACTCTGAGCTTCCCCGTATCTCGGCGGCTCTCACAACGGCGTGTGGCACTGTTGGACGCCAGGGGGAATAAAGCAAGATGTGCAGCCGAAACGGGGTCTGCGTCCGCCTGGTTGGAGCCCTGCGATACACTGTGACCGCAGCTCCGCGCTGCTGGCGCTCCGCAAATTCAGTCAGATTTATGGCAAAAGCGTAAAACCCACCGGAGATCAACAACGTCCACCTGCCACACGTCCCACTGCGGTGGATTTGCCACCCCGCTCCTCCCAGCCATCGGATGGAAAGATACAACAAACGCGGTTATCGAGCGCGGAGCGCAGCGCTCCTCTGGTCGGGGCTTTGCTCTCCGTTTGCAGGAGGGGCAAAAACAGTGTTTTGTACAGCTCTGGTGGGGGAAGAGACAGAAAGAAGAACAGAACGCGATCCCAGAACGAAAGGCGGCCCCAGAATGAACCGCAGAGCGCGCCGTTACGTCCTGTGCGTTGGAACAGCCCGCCGCTTCTCCTGGAATTACTGTTCATGCGTGCTTTACCAGACCGCCAGACCCCCAAGGGCTGACCCCCAAGGATTGACCTCCAAGGGCTGACCTCCAAGGGCTGACCTCCAAGGGCTGACCTCCAAGGATTGACCCCCAAGGGCTGACCTCCAAGGATTGACCCCCAAGGGCTGACCTCCAAGGGCTGACCTCCAAGGGCTGACCTCCAAGGATTGACCCCCAAGGGCTGACCTCTAAGGGCTGACCTCCAAGGATTGACCTCCAAGGATTGACCTCCAAGGATTGACCTCCAAGGGCTGACCTCCAAGGATTGACCTCCAAGGATTGACCTCCAAGGGCTGACCTCCAAGGGCTGACCTCCAAGGATTGACCCCCAACGGCTGACCCCCAAGGGCTGACCTCCAAGGATTGACCTCCAAGGATTGACCTCCAAGGATTGACCTCCAAGGGCTGACCTCCAAGGATTGACCTCCAAGGATTGACCTCCAAGGGCTGACCTCCAAGGATTGACCCCCAAAGGCTGACCTCCAAGGGCTGACCCCCAAAGGCTGACCTCCAAGGATTGACCTCCAAGGGCTGACCTCCAAGGATTGACCCCCAAGGGCTGACCTCCAAGGGTTGACCTCCAAGGATTGACCTCCAAGGATTGACCCCCAAGGATTGACCTCCAAGGATTGACCTCCAAGGGCTGACCCCCAAGGATTGACCTCCAAGGATTGACCTCCAAGGATTGACCCCCAAGGGCTGACCTCCAAGGATTGACCTCCAAGGGCTGACCCCCAAGGGCTGACCCCCAAGGGCTGACCTCCAAGGATTGACCCCCAAGGGCTGACCCCCAAAGGCTGACCTCCAAGGATTGACCTCCAAGGATTGACCCCCAAGGATTGACCTCCAAGGATTGACCTCCAAGGATTGACCTCTAAGGGCTGATCCCCAAGGATTGACCTCCAAGGATTGACCTCCAAGGATTGACCCCCAAGGATTGACCCCCAAGGATTGACCTCCAAGGATTGACCTCCAAGTGCTGACCTCCAAGGGCTGACCCCCAAGGGCTGACCCCCAAGGATTGACCTCCAAGGATTGACCCCCAAGGGCTGACCTCCAAGGATTGACCTCCAAGGGCTGACTTCCAAAGGCTGGCCTTAATGGCTTGACCTCTAAGAATTGACCTCCAAGGTCCGACCTCACCAAGGACCAACCTCCAAGGGCAGACCACCAAGGGCAGACCCTCAGGAGCTGACCCCCAAGGGCTGACCCCCAAGAGGTGACCCCCAAGGGCTGACCCCCAAGAGGTGACCTCCAAGGGCTGCCCTCACCAAGGACTGACCTCCAAGGGCTGACCTCTCAAGGCTGGCACCACGTTTCTCCCACTACCTGCACCAGCCCTGCTTAATTACTGCTCCTTCGTTATGCCCCACGTGTCCCCAACACACGGCAGCTCCCGCTGGCGGCCACCTGGCACTGCCCAGCAGCCCCGGTGCGAGGCCCCAGCACCCCAAAGCCTCATCGATCTCCCACAAGATCCATCCTCCATCCTTTGCCACAGCCCTCAGCACGTGGGGCTCCCACTGCGGGCACCTGCACCGTGCCGCGTGCCACCGGGGCGTCCGTCACCCCGGCGGGAGATGAGCGCTGCAGCCCCGCGCCTCACCCCGAGGCCATCCGTCGCCCATGGGTGCCAATGGCCGCATCCCGCCCCGTCCCGCCCCACCGCACCGCGCCGCACGGTACTTACTGAGGACGGCAACCCCGGAGGAACTTTCCGAACTTTCTTTGTCTGAACTTCTGCAAAGACAGAGAGAACGGCGTCCTGGTCAAGGCCGGCAGGCCGCCGGCGCGGCTCCTACGGAGCGGCTCTGCCCTCGGCAGCAGCGTGCCCAGCGCTCCCAGCGCCGCGGGGCCTCCGCGCCCCCCAGCCCACGGCCCCCCAGCCACGGCCGCCAACCCCACACGCGCAGCCCGCCGTGGGGCCCGCTGTCGCGTGCGCAGCGCAGGGGGAGGCGCTCGCTCGCTCACTCACCCATGGAGGTGCTGTGCAGCGGCCGGCGGCGCGGGTTATTGCTGGAGTACTGGTAGTACTGGGAGCCCGGCTTGCTGGGGGACAGCGCCCCGGGGTTGCCGATGTCCATCTCCCCGGCCAGGAGACTTTGCTGGAGGACAGAAAGACAGAGGTGTGTGCGTGCCATCCCCACCGACACGCAGCCACGAGGCACCCGCGGCCTGCCGAAACGCAAGCGTGGCCGGCGGCGCTGCTCCGCATCCGGCGCCGCTCCAGGCAGAGCGGCGCAGCGCAACGGGAGCGCAAGGAGGCGGCCCGCACCCACAGGACACTCGCCGCCCGCTCACGCGAACGCAGCCGGCGCTGCACGAAGCTTCGCAGCCCCGCTAAGCGACGCACTGGGAAGCAGCGCAGTTTCCTCGCTGCGAACAAGAGGTCGGAGCACGGCCTCAGACGCCGCAGCGCTGAGCGGAGTGCGGCACGCCGCCGGCAGAGCGGAGCGGGCGGCTCCCAGCGCGCGAGGCGGCCGAGATGCGCGCGGCGGAGTCAAAGCGCCGCGTTCGGCCACGCGGATCGGCGGGCGTCGCTGAGCCGCGCCCCGCGTGCGTCGCCCGCGCCTCCGCGCCGCTTCCGAGGAGCCTCCGCAAAGCGCCGAGCCGCTCAGGCCACGGCGCAGCGGCAGCAGCGGCCGCCCAGGGCCGCCGCGCAGCCGTCGGACGCCGTCCCGCCGCGCACCCCGGCGCGCGCACGCACGCACATCGCGGCCCCGCCGCGTCCCGCACCGCTCGGCTCCGCCGCCGGCGCCCGCGGAGCGGCGCTGCCCAACGGCCGCCGCTCGGCCCCGCGGCCCGCGCCATCGCAGCCCCTTCCCGGCGCCGCTCCGTCCTCGCGGCGCCCCGCGACGCAGCGCGGCGCCCGGCTGCCCCCTGCTCTCCGCACGATCCCGAGGGGCGGCAGGCAGGTGTAGGCGGCTGTGCCGAGGACGAATTTACCGCTTAATAAAGAAATTTCAAAATTAAGCACCAAAAATCTAACTTTATCGTTACTTGTAATCAACTTTTACTGACTGAACTAATTACTGTACTTGATAAAGTACAGAATGTGTTTTCCCTAATCTAAATTCTAATCACCATGTCACTCACAACAGACTTAGTAATGCTTCACTAACACACTATTCACATGCAAAATACTCTAAATAGGCCAATTATGACTCTGCCCCTGTTCCCTGGTTAACCCGCTGAGAACTGAAAAATTTCACAAGGCAGTCACCAACTAAAACAAAGGCTCCTTGTCTTAAATTAAGGCAGTCTTTTTGATTCCTAAATAGCTCAACAAAGTGGCATGTCTTCTGCTGAAAGCAGTTGGTCAAATACGGCCCGCGAGCTGGAAAACCAGAAATTAAAACATCCTTCTCCTTTTGCCGCGCCTCCAAAACACGTCTCGGGATAACTTTTGATTCGGGAAAGCGATATTACTTTTTTTCCCAGGTCAGCAAAACCGAAATGCGTGCGGGGGGACGGACGGACGGACGGGCGGGCGGACGGACGGGCGGACAGGCGCTGCATCCCGCGCCGCCCGCTGGCACCGCCGCGCTGCCCGGCGCCCCGCCGGCCGTCACAGCCCAGCGCAGAGCATCGCCGCTCCGAGCTTCACCTCTCGCTCACGTCGGAGATACACCTGCAGCGACTCGGCTCCTCTCGGCACAACACCTGCGACAGCGAAAATGGCTGCGGCTCCACCGCATCACGGCCAGAAAGGGGCGCGGAGCTCCCGGAGAAAATGGCCATCCATCCACTCGCTGCCAGCGTCCTCTGGCAACGCACGGGGCTGACGGAGCGCCTCGGAGCGCTGCGGGACGAGCCGCAGAAACCAAATCCCCTTCGGTCACACACTCCTATCACGCATACGTTTTAACATAAAGACAGACCTGCTAAACCTGGGCACGGCTGATCCATACGTCGAGGAGCCTCAGCCGCTCAAATCCCTGCACGCGGCCGCCCGGCTCTCGCTGCACTGAAAGGAAAACTCCACGAGGCAGCGTTTGCAAACTATTGGGAGATTAAACGAGATTCGCCTTCGGAGCAGAACACACACACACACGCACACCCCCGACGCTGTTTTTTGCCTCTCTCCTCCCAACATCTTTCTCCGCAAACAGATGCAGAGGTTCCTACGGGAAGGAGACCCAACGTGAGCTGCTCTCCGGGAAGCGACCGCAGGCACGGCCGCGCGGCCGCACGCCTTTGTTTATCCGGCAACCGAGCGCTCCTCGTTGCCACCAGTTGCACTTCGCAACTCCCGTGCGTCCCTCCCGGGCCGGCAGGCAGCGTCGGCGACTCGGGCTGCAGCACGGCCGCGTACCCGGAGCGCGGCCCCGGGGCCGGGATGAGGGCGCGCACCGCCGTGCCCAGCCTGCAGCGCCCCCGGCGCCCCGCAGCGACCCTCGCACGGCGCTCACACGTGGGCGCGCCGAGCGCGGTGCGTGCTCCTCGGCACGGCCCGAAGCGCGGCGGAGCCCGAGCAGAAAAGCACCGTCCTCGGTACGGGGTGGGACGCGGCGCGGCTCTGCTTCGGGGCACAAAAGAGGTGGGTTTGTTGTGGGGAGGAAACCCGACGGCAGCACGCGGGCGCTGCTCCCGAGGTGCTCGCGGGAAGAACAATGGGCAGCCGGTGCCGCTGCCAGCGGCCTGCCACAAAGAGCGCGACAGAGCGCCGACGGAGCGCCGACGGAGCGCCGACAGAGCGCCGACAGAGCGCCGACAGAGCGCCGACGGAGCGCAGGGCGCCCGTCTCCAAGCCAGACCTTCGGTTGGCACAACTACGCAGCATCACAGTTCCTATTCACCACCACGAAAAGATGAGCTTAAACCCTAAGTGCCACACTCGTCCGGCTCCCTTCCACTCTCCAGAGCAGGGTTTGCCGTGCCCGCACGTCCTGCACGGGGCGCCTCTGGCTGCAGCCGCGCCGCACGAAAACCCTACAGCTCCTTCAGCCCGTCGCTACGAGTCCCACAGCGCTCCGCCGTGGCAGCCACGCCGTGCTGGTCCTCGCAGACCTGCGCTGCCGGCAGCCCGCTCGGCTGATCGCACACGCAGCGAATCGCACGGCGGATCTGCCGGCAGAACGCGAGTCGGGGCGAGCAGCAACCGCCGGAGCAGACAAACGCGGAGCACAGAGCCGCGCTGCGCTGCTCCTCCTCGGTGCCTCTGCCTTTGTGGCTGCTGCGGCCCCGTCTCAGCCCTCCCGACTGGTGAAACAAGTCGCCAACCGGGAGTCCTGCCCGCAACACGGAGACAACCAGACAAAGAGCCGCAGCCGCGCGGGAGGAGATGCGCGCACAGCGCGGCAAAGGAACGTCCGCACGGATGTGGCGTCGCCCCCCTGGAAAAGACAAATGCTGCTTTTTCCAACAAAAATCACCTGAACGCCAGACATTTACGCATCTGCTCCGTACCCACCGAGCTGGGAAACTGGTTTTTAAACACAGTATTTCCTTTCCCACAGAAAGAGGTGAGGCGCGGTACGACAGCGCTGCCTTTTGTCACTACGGCATTAATTCAGATTAAAGGTGAATGTCCCGGAAGCTTATAACCCAAAAGCCTCTGAAAACACCGATCAGGGGAAAACATTTCCAGAAAGGCCTTTTTTTTCTTTATTTTTTTGCTGACAACCGACGTATTTACTCTCCTTTTTTGCTCTCTTTGTGCCAAGCCGCGATCCGGAAGCAAACGCAGCACGCAGGGATGCGGCAGGGAAGAGGAAAACGGGAAGCGACGCAGAGACGAAACTCTGCTGATTGAGTGCCAGGTCGGCGTGCTGCTGGCGCCCAGCAGCCCTGCACAGCTGCAGCACAGGCAGCTCGAGCAGCACAGCTCCGCAGCACCCAGCAGGCACACCGCCGTCCTGCCCGGCCCTGCGCGCTCCTGCCTCCCAGCTCTTCCCAGCCGGGGGATCCCGGCTGCTTGTTGGGCCCGCTCCGCAGCCTCCAGCCGACCCACACACTGCGGGCCCCTCCGGCATCAAAGCTTTCTCCAGGAAACAAAAAAAGAGCACCAACAAAGCGTGCTGCCTCCGTCCTTGGCACTGAGGACCTGCACGCTGCACTGGTGCCCGCCACGAGGACGTCAAGCCGCTGCGCTGCACCCTGCGGCGCCTGCTCTGCCCCAAGTGCGCCAACAGAGCAGCTCGACGCTGCTGACACCCCCCTGCTTCACGTGGCAGTCCCTCTCTTCTTTCCTAAGCTAACGAAATCCTAAAGGCCGCTGTCCTGCTTCCTTCCCCCCCGTGAAACAGAGGATGCAGCCTGGTTCCCCATCACTGGCTCCCCTCGCCGCCCTGCCCTCGGTTTATGAATTTTCACTGAAGTCGAGTTAACAGAGTAATGCTGCGTACGCATCTGAATCACTCCTTGGTTATTTCCTTCTGTGATTCCAATCCTCTGTTTTTAATCAAATTATGAAACTAAATTTCCACTTATCATGTGACTATCAGGGCATCTGTTCATAATCTGTCCAATTCCTACAAATACTCCTTTCTTTAGCTTTTGGAGATTTGGCAGCTCTCTGCAAAATCTCCTCCGTGTCATTTGCGCCCAGCGTTTCTCTCTAATGCCAAGTGTAAATTGCAAACCACGGATGGCAAACGGGGAAACCATTTCCGTGGGCTTCGCCGGGAATGTTTTCAAAGCAAAGGCACTGTTTTCCCTTTTTCTAAACCAACAGTAATCCTGAAAAGCGTTTGCCGAAAATGTCTGACTCCGAAGGACAAAGGAAGTCGCCGCACAGACCCATTTTTCGCAGGGCTCTGCTTTCTCCGCTGCGCTCTGCGTGTACCAAGGGAGGGAGGCCTCGGCGCCTTCGTTTTCCTCCTCTGTCTGGCAGCACAAAACCTTTTGTTCCGCTCCCCCCCACTCGCAGGGCAGCACCTCGCCCGCTCTGCTCCTCTTCTGCCTCTGACCTCCATCAGGCAACGCTCGCAGGCGTTGCTGAGCCGTTCACCTTCACCCAGCCCTCGTGCAGTAACGCCGCCGGCCCTCACTCTCTACTTCTTGTTCATTTCTTCTCTCTCTCTTCCTCCGCGTCTCCTAAAACTGCTCTTCAGCTTTACGCCTTCCTCGAGTCGTTTTTCCCAGCCGTGCCTTTCCAGGACTG